TCACGATCCAACAAGATTAAACTCAAACAGCAGGGTTAGTAAGCTTGGCAGATGTTTCTCAGTGGTCAAGATCTTTCCATCTGCGATTGTTTGTGTCAAGTTAATAGTGTTTTAGTCTAAGAAAATGGACTTCTCAGCCTCCTACCGATAAGCACGTTCATTTAACAGTTTTAAGGTGATGCTTTAACTCCACAAAGCTTCGACCAATAAGATCGTAACTTAATACGTAAGAAACACTATGAAAGGTACTTCATTATTTAAGACTTTCAGTTAGTCTGATTTAAGCATGTAAGCTTTTAAATCTTTAAGAGTTAATTTTACATCAACTTCAATACATTTGTCTTCGGTTGCATGGTTGCAAAATGGAGATTCGTTTTGTTGTAATCCACCTTTTGATGTGGTGTATAATATACCTTAAGGTAAGTAAAAAGGTTTTTATTTACGCCAGCGTTGTTTGGAATTAAGGCGTGAAGTTAATTAAGGCCTACGTTTCTTCATTTACAAAGTGAGTTTTTTTACCGAGCCATGATTTGTTGTTGTGGACAGACCTAAAAACTTTGGAGATGAAAGGGTTAATCAAATCAATGCAAACAGCTCGTCATATCTAGTTTACGAAGACATAGAAATTATTGTTAATGTCAGGAAAACAAATTTAAAATCTCGTAATTATTCTCTATCATTTTCGAGTCCTTTTCAGCAAAGCTATATCTGGTCCCTTAAATGTATTAATTTCTAGATCTGAAGAAAGAATCCAATCCTGGGCCTCATTCCCCAAAGTGTTGTCATATGTCATATGCCGGCAGTTGCGTAACGTCTTAACTCTACGGCGGCAAGGCTTTTCCTCCTTGCAAAGTTAAATGATTCCTTTTTTCTCAATGTGCAGGGGATTTCCATAGCTCGAACTACACCAATATTAAATGTACAGGTTGCAGTAGATGACAGCGAGCCCTTGTTTCAAGGGTAAGATTAGCAAAAGCTAGTTTTAAAACATTTACAAGATTTTTTTTATTTACTTTGTTTAGCACTAGCGTGACTACTCTCTAGCATATTCAGCTCTTGCTTGTCATAATTAATTATTTAATTGTCGAAAACAACAAATAGATACCTGATTAAAGTGTCAGTGGGATATTAAAAATGTGAATTCCACGAGGCGATTATTGGAAAAGCCTATGGAAGGACATTTTTTCAGTTTCACCATTTAAAAAGCAAAATCTTTCATTTATTTGCCCCGAAACAAGATTTTTTGCTTATCTACGTTATATCTAAGTGGCAAGACTGTTTCCCCGCTATAGTCTGCCCTAGCTTGTCATAATACATAATTTAATAGTCCACCAAAAAAAATGAAAAAATAAAATATTTGAAATTTTTCATTCTTGATTTTTTTCACAGAAACAAAACTAGAGTCAACGTAAATGTAACCCATAAAAACAACTCAACGTCTGCGGTTAGCCATGTAACTATCATTCTACAGGCTTCATTTAAAGCAGAATTCAGTTCAGTAAACTTAACTTCGTTCTCAGTGATTCCAGATGTGCTACAAAATAACAGAGTCGAGGTACGATTCCTCTCTTGTTCACATTTCTATTCAGTAAATCATCTCATTTCAAGGAAATACTGGAAAAAAGGTATAATCACACAAACAAATATAACGGAAGCCGTCAGTGGACGTTCCCAAAATTGAACCGCGTGTGTCTTGTAAGTTCCCATCCATGTCTTATCTCTTTGTGCATAGTGTTAAGTTCGATCACAGTTTTACAAAACAATTAAAAAAGCAGGAGAAATCTTGAATTAACTAATGTAGTCAAAAAGTTGAATTGATTCAGTTAGTTGTAGTTCATAATACCGTTCTTTGGCTTTTTTCAGCTCAACAGGCTCGAGCTGGGTCAGCAATTCTCGTATGAAGTAGTCATTTCCATTGATCCTCAAGGACTCACTGAGCCCGGTCGCCTTCACGTAGCTTATGTGATCAGCACCATAACATATAGCGGTGAATACAATAATTTTACAGATCCAAATGACGGAACAAGGCTGACTAAAACTTCTGACAGTTTTCACACTTCGTTCTACTTCTACGTACCAGGTTTGTTACGGAGTGCTAGACTAGACGCCTTTAACTTGTCTCTGCTAAGTACACCAATATGAAAAAAAGGCATCAAATGTGGTCGTAATAAAAGAACTCAAGAGCCATCAAGTTTCATTCTTTCTCGGCCATGACGTACGGACCTCGCTTTGCTTGATCCGTACTTCATGACCTCGAAGGATATAGTGTATTTTCAACGTCTCATTACTTCATCTCTTTATTGAAACCAAGAAAATTTCTAATGATGAACGAAGGTTGTGAAAAGAGTAGAAATTGTTTCGGAGCCTACATGATGGAAGCTGTTATTATCCATCAATCTGCATGTTGAAACATCGGGTAAATTTTTTTTAAAGTAGCATCTTCTTTTCTATGCAAATCTTCACATAGGTCGAAGATGACCATTAACAAGACAAAAGGTAACATAGCACGCACTACTTTTGAAACAAGCCGCCTCACAGCGAAATTGTAATTATAGAGATAAAACCTCTCACAGCCAATATCTCTGACAAACCGATCGCGAAAATATGCCAAAGATATCGTGATATGCACAGCCTAGAATTTTTCTTATTAGATTCCCCCTGTGTTCAACCGCTGGGTATGAGAAGTGGGTACATCAAGGAGAGCCAACTTTTATCATCGTCATTCTTCAAGACATCTCAAGATTCACTTGGTCACAGTCCCCATCGGGCTAGGCTTGGCAGCTCAGGGCACTGGTCCCCTGCCAATGGAAGCTCTTCAATTGACAGAGAACAGTTTATACTAATCAACTTTGAGAGATTCATCCGTCTAAAAATGGTTTGTTTGAGCACCTTTTGTTGTGCAAAACTACTTAAACAAAGATTTATGTGTGTCGCGGTCACTTTTTAAAGAAGTGTAAGTCAGTTGTTTACGCTCAGGGTTAAAAAAAATGATCAATTTATGGATTTTATTTCATAGTTTAGTCTATAAACTATTATTGGTTGACTGCATTGGCTTTGTTCACTTATTTCTTAAAATTCTAGATCGTGTTACAAGGAAAACCAAATTCTGAAGAACACGTCAAAACTTTTAATGCTTGGACGAGTCTTGACGGGGAGGAGTGGAAGAAAGAAAAACCTCTACCTAAGGTTTCTATATTATTATATTTTTTATCTAATAGCTTGCAATCGGTGCACTTACTAATAGGAATTCATAGATTATTTATGTTTCATAGGCATCTACGAACGGTGATCACTCTAAATAACTGACTTTCGAATTAATCGATGAGCTGCCTATTCTATACTGAGCTTATTCATGAGAATCTGTTTACATAAATCTGCACAGCCTAGCGCCTGGTTCCGTGAATGAAAGTGCGAGAAGAGAGGACGAAAGAAAAAAAGGCGGTGCTAATTTATGATAACATCGGGTCGGGCGGGAAATATTGGCTCTACACCTCTGGACCACGAGCCACTGAATGTTTTACCTTCAGGCCCTCTCACTTAATCAAAGAAGCAAAGAAACAAAGCTCTACCGTGTTAACCAGATATGAACAATGGCTACGAACACACTCTCCAAAATCAATTGTTTTTATGCGCATATTTGCACGGTAAGCGTGTCATACCATTAGCGTGCGAGCGCGTTATAACGTGCCGTGTGCGTGCGTTTACCTTATTCTCTGAAGCCCCGCGGAGGGTGACATATTCTTAATCGTAGACCCCGTATTTAACATTGAATTTTTTTTTTGAAAGTTTTAGCTGGAATAGACTTCAGCGCGCCTCACTAGAAATCATACTACCAGCCAGGCACAACTTTATGAAAACTGTTGTCCCTTGATTGTTCACTAAGCAGTCGAAACCCCTCTATTTATTCGCATGTGTTTCAATCTATTCCCAGTTGTCTGTAAAAGCGCTTTCCCTGCCTCAGCAAGCAAAATCAACTTTTGTTATTTTTTTTCATTTTCTTTTCATCATGAAAGATCTTTAATCGTTATTATTTTTTTGCCAGGGCCTTGTCAACGTAACAAATGGAAACGCGGCAATCCCAACGGCTTACAGGTCTCCTACTTCTATTCGATTTCTAAGAATTCAGCCTACTTCTTGGCACAAAGGAAGTGCTCTTCGAATTGAAGTTTATGGCTGTTACATAAATGAGACAGCACCCACAAAAGGTAGGTTTCTTGATCCATTAGACTGTTGTTTACTTAGCCTCTGATTTTGCAGTAAAGGTGCATAAAAATTGTAGGATGAAAATTTATCTTTGTACGGAACATTTAAAACAAAGATATGTTTGGAGACGTACACGTGCCTATACTGGTCAAGCCTAGAACTTTCGTCACAGACCGTCTGAGGCAATAGAGCAGAAGATTTTTCTCGAAACACAGTTTAGTCTTTGAACAATTGCCTAACATTAGAAGACGATATACCTGTTCAGTTAAGAAATATCCATTTAAGAAATATCACGCATGTCTTTGAGAAATTTCACGTCACGTTCGCTCTCTCTTATCTTTAGTAACTCTCTTGGCCGGCGCATCAGAGCACGTGCGGTTACCTAACAGTGAATTAGCACAATTGGACTATCATTTTACGTGTAACTATAGTTATAGTTGGGTGGTTAGTCAAGACCACTAAAGTTTGGGACCAACGGCCTTTAATTCCACTCTTGAATTGTATAATTATTCAAATCGTTTCATCTGACAGCTTAAATGTCCAATGCCACTTTTAACATAAAGTATGTCAATTAGCAACACGCTAACTTTGTGAAAGTGAGAAAACATCTTTGAAAAAAATTTGAATCCTTTTTTTTAGGAACACAATCCGTGCTGCGCATGCTCTGAGGCTGTCCTAGCGGCGGGAGAATAGTCAATGATGCTCAAATTCTAAAAGCATCCTGTATGCAGACAGATTGAAGAAAAAACTAAAGTTCTAAGTTCTGCCGTTGAAATGTTACTTGTTTCAGAGTTCCCTGCACTTGGAGTGGAGAAGCAGCTAATAACAGATACTCAGATGACTGCTTCCTCCAAAGCTGATCTGCCAAAGTTGAATGCTTCTAGTGGCCGATTGAACTTCAACAGCGCTTGGTGCTCAGCAAACTCCAATGAGCTACCGCTCTTTTTACAAATTGATCTTCATGAAATCCACATAATTACAGCGGTAGTATAAAAGTGAATGATTTGCAGTCTCAAGGTTACCGTGAGTTACTGATCGTTCTTTGAGAGCGACACAGTTCCTTACGATGTTATTCACTTTTGTCACGAAAATACAATGTAATCGAAATTCAGAGCTGCTGATCTACACCCTCGTGCTCCACCACTGAGTTTCACAAAATCGATGGTTAGGCAAATCAATACATGGTTTATGTGTTATAAGCGTCCTGTACGTTGCCATTCCTGAACGAAATGTTCCTTTCATTACTTCCTTCTTTGTATCCGAATATCTCGTCGTATTTTATGGAATTTACCATCTTCCCAAACAGCTTTGAGTAACGGCAACCAAAGCAAAACAGGAGGAAAAGTCTTAATGCATTGTTTTATTTCTTCAAATTGTAGGTCGCTACCCAGCCACGGCATTCAAATATCGGTAATGTTCAAAGCGTGACAAAATACAACTTGAACTACTCAGAGGATGGAGCCAATTGGAGAATATATCAACATAATGGGAAGGACAAGGTATTTTTTTTCTTCATTTTACAAATTTCAGGACAAAGTTATAAATGTCACCAACCTGCAGGTGGGAAAATTTCCAGAGATGCACTAATATAGCATTCCAATCAAAAGGAGTAGCAATAATCCTTGGGCTCCAACTTTTAAAAACCGAGGAAGGCGTTAATTTAAGAGGGGGTGAATAGGGGTATTCAAATCCGCCGATCCGCTACAATTTGATAACCAAATCCGTCAATCCGTTAAAAAAATCGTAAAATCCGAATCCGTTTGCTAATTGCGCACTCCGCTTAAATCTGTCCATTATTGTAGGTATATTGATTCTACTTACTTAACAGCTTATCGGTTTCGTTTAATATTGATGGCATTTCAAGTTCCAACTGCTTGTCAGTGTCAGTAGTGTATCTTTCTTGACGTCCAGATACACGAGAACCCCTGTTGAGCTTGATGGCAATATTTTCACCCAAACCAAGCTCTTTTGCCGTGGAGTCCAATGCAGCAAACTCACTAAATAAAATTAGAAAGCGACATTTTATAAGGCAATTTAAGTACCAATAGGCTTTAGAGACCTTTCAATCAATTTTTATTAGCCACAAAATTACTGCTTTGCCTGTTAAAAGTTTTCATAAATTAAAAACTTACCACACGTTTTTACAAAGCTAGAAGCTTGGTCACACTTTTCTAAGTGTCGGAATCCACTTGGCAGCGAATTTTTTTTTTGTTAATGTAATCATAGCCTTTGGCCCCTTCATTGTAAAAAGAATGCAACGCATTCTATTGTCGTCAATTCCATTAATACCTACTGAACACGAACAGAGAACTAAGTGAAATCGATGTCAATATACCAGCATGGTCGGCATGTACCACGCGGTTCGTTCAAAGGTCGGCAAACAGTGCTTTAGAAATGTACTTAAAATGCGTTCAAGTCAGAGGTCATCTTTCAGATCACATACCAAATATACTCTGCGAAAAACTACCGGGAAAACTGGACAGTAACAGCGCCAAAGACCATAGCTTTCCAATCGAGCCAATCGCAACCAGAGCGATACAGTGTCACGGATAAGAGCGTGAACACAGCGCATGTCCCGCTGGCAACATGTCACGGTGTCCTGCTGGCCATAGTGCGTTATTATTTCCCTGATGCGTGACATTCACCCTCCTCATTTAAATGTATGAACGACGATATTTACGATACTCACCTTCTGGTTCTCACCTAACAGTTTCGTTGTTGTTATTGATCTTCAGAAGTTCCTTGGAAACCTAGTTGAAGATATCGCTACTAAAACTCACCTGCCAATTCCGGTGAAGGCGCGACTAATTCGATTTCTACCTCTTGGAATGATGTCTTCTACATGTATGCGAGTTGAAGTATATGGAGAAAAATCTTCCACGGAAAGTACAGGTAAATGGTCTTCAAAAAAGTGAATGTTATGAAATCTATTTTTCTGAAAGGCAAAGGAAAAGAATGCTACTTAATATTCTTAATGATATTTTTGGCCCTCAGTTACGTTTTCGTTGCTTTTTTGTTTCGTCTAGAGTTTGCAAACCTAGACTGAGCTTAGTTCCATCTACCAACTTCTGCTCGTCCAATATCATTTGCTTCTCTTCTCGTTAACAAGCTATCCCTTGATTTGTCTCTAATTTACCTTAAACTATCGATATTTTCAATTCCACAACAGACTTTGTCAATGCTTTCAAGTTGCCTCCCGGGTTACCAATCTATTTCCTTAAGTTTGCAGGATTTTTTTAAATGTATTATGTTCTAGGAAGAGACAACAACGACTTAGGTGTTAGGAATAATATTTCCCACATGATTTACACTGACTTGTTTATATGACTGGTACAAAAAGCCTTTATTTTTACCTAGACGCTACTCCAGTTTGCCTCGCCCCTCAAGATGTGGCTTGGTAGCTCAGTTAGCACGGTAGCACCCAATTAACATTTGGGAGGCCTAGGTTCTAGCCCCTTTGAAGGCTAATTTAGTTGCGAATCAATTCCATCTATTCCATCAATTCCAATTACATACCTTTAGGAATGAAATTACAACTTTCCCGCACCTCCAAAAAAGTGAAGTATACATATAGAAAAATAGATCAAAAGATCCTTTTTTATGATATGAACATGTTCTATATCTTTTTGAAGGAAAGCCTCCAGTCTATCAACGAAGTATTCTTCTAGATGATAAAAACAAAATGCTTTTCTTATGTAACAAAGAATTTTTAAGGTACGTAGGTAACAGACGGAATATTCCTACTTAGGGTCGCAAATTTTAAACAACAGTATTAGCACGATTAAATCGATTTCATGTCCCTTTCGAGAATCATCCAAACTCCCACAGTATTTGCCGTATCGGACAGACTCTTGAAATATGTGACATTTTGTCACTTGATGCCGGAGAATGAGAAGCAGCCCCAGGTGATATTGAACCAGAGAAATAATGTCAGAAGATGTTATTTTTATTATTTTGATCTTTTACTTGTCTTACAGAAGGTACCATCCCAGCATAAAAATCTACATATAAATCATGTTATGGTCATTTTGGTAGGAAATCCCGTATAGCTATTGTGCATGTATAACCTAACCTATTGATGTTCAATGAGTTTTAGACGCCTTTTCGTAAAGTGAGAGTAAACTGAGCCAAGACGGTAACAAATGCATCTTTTGATTGTAATCAAAATTTCCTTTTTCCTGAATTAACGTGATTAAATCGCCCCTTGTGCCCACACAGGATCAAGGCGGTATGCTTTATCAGGAGATATTTAAAGGACGAAAGTTGGATTGGTAAGCTGACGTAACTAATCCTTATTCTATCCTTTGCAGTGGTACAGGCGTCTTCTCTTCCTCTTTTTAGTCCCTCTTAATGTCTTCTTTCTTTTCCTAACCTCATCGCTCCCGTGCCAGGCGGGAGACATCCACCGTCCTCCCCTTCCTTTCTCGATCCTGGGCTTCGACTTACATTTATGTTCCGCTGACCTCCCCTACTTAGTGTTCAGTTGTTTGTTATTTTGGCTTATTTGCTTGTTTGTTTGCCTTTTTTTAATTTTTTTTTACCTTCCCATTCCCTTTCGACACACGAGAGAGGCCTGTTTGATTACACTATGGCGTGGTATCATCTAAGGCGGACACATTTTATTTCTTTTCTTTTTGTTTTGAACCAGAAAGCCCTCTGTGTCTTTACTCCCAGCGTCTTCATCGATAACGATATTAAGTCAATTCACTCTAGGGAAAAACCGTAGTCTTCTTCTTTGTCAAAAATACAATATTCAAGAAAAGACATGAAATCGGAAGAATGAGTCTATTTTAACTGTTTATAGACTCCGTCCTAACTGCGAGCCTGCTCCCCTACCAGATCACCACTATTGAAATTAGTTGCTCTCACCCTTACCAGCTCGCCCTCGGTTCGAGGTGAATTTTATTTATTTTTTTCAGCCTTGGACAGACGCATTGTCAGCATTCTTGGTTATGATCAAAATGAAGACGTTATCTATGGCGTGGCCAGGAACAGAAGATCATACTTACGATGTAACGTTACCAAGTGTGCTGCTATTCCAAGTGAAGTCTGGTTAAGGTTGAGGGATTTGTCAACCACAATCTTATCCACAGAGATTGCTTTTGTTCCGGAGACAGGCCATGATTTTACTGATACTCCAATTTCTGGATGCAAACTGGTTGATAACGACGGCAATAAATGGGGAGGTGTTTAAAGCTCATAATCATCATCTTTGGAGCGTCTTAATGTCTAGGATCTCTTTAAAAAATATATAGTTCATCTAAGTTGCAAATAATGAGAAACACTCTATGCTACAAGGTTTTTCTATCTACCATTCAGGACATATGAAAAAGTTGGAGGAGGGGGAAAAGGGGGTGGCGGGTAGGGAGGTCTCCATTTTCACCACCAGATTGGTGGTTTATTTTGTGCCACTCTTCGTCTCTTCAGATCTCGAAAGGAGGAGTCAGGTGACAATTAAAAGACTTCTAATTTGTCTTGCCGGTTTGCATTTTTTCAGTTAGGATCTATCAATCTTCCTTAAACTAGCGATGGTCCAACTTTATTCTAATTATCGATTGTCCTTTTCATTCTAATTTTTTTTTAACTTACAGCTTCAGCAGTGGGTATTCATTTCTTCAAAGGGGAACAGCAAACACGGAAATTGATGGCCCATTGGCGGGCTAGGGGTAAGAGGTTTTTTTACTTATATTTATTTTCATTTTTATAACATGATTTGTCCTGTTTTAAATCGAGAAATCAACAATGGAAACAAACAAATTGAGAGTTGGTTTAACGATGAAATGGAACGACGGAAACGAAGGACAAATGCGCGGAGAAGACAAAATATTGACAGATGCGTTTGACCACTTAACTACTATCTAGTTTTTGTTTTTGGTTTTTTTTTTTTTTTGTAGATTCAACTACATTGTTAAAAACAGAGACTGCCTTGCAAAGAATTAAAAAAACTAAAAAGATTAGAAACAACTGATTATTCACTGCTTTTGTTGTCAGATCTAAACAAATGTTACAGTGGACCTTGTGATAATGGCGGTTCTTGTGTTGGGAATAAAAATGAATACACTTGCATCTGCCTCAGCGATTGGGCAGGAAAGAACTGTGAAACCAAGTGTGAGTGCCCTCTTGAACATTGTTATCGTGATCAACAATGAGAATGATTTAAATTGCATCTCATTTATACGATATTGATTGATTAGAGGCATCCATCCATCCATACATTCGAGTGGCTAAGCTTTCTTCTGTTTGTTCGTTCGTTCATTAAATATCCTGTCTTGATACCTTGCTTATTTTCTTGCTTGCACGTTTGGTTTATTATATTTTGTTCTTTTCCAAATTAATTCGAATCACTCTCACACACGCCAAACGGTGGCTTATATTTCAGGTCAAACACAATTTTAAACTTTTTCCACTTCTTGAATTGTTAAAAGTTTTATTAAACTTTATCCCATGCATTTTTTCTTCTGTGTAGTTGTTGTCCCTCAAGTTGAGGTGACGAAGTCCACCTGCAATTCAACCACGAACAAAGTGGAAACGGGAACAATCAACACTCCAGAATATCCCAAGGACTATGGCAGTAATAGTCGTTGTGAATGGCTTATTACCTCATCACATCGGATTAGACTGGTTTTTAATTACTTTTTCGTGGAGAATGGTTGGGATTATTTCCATGTTTACGAGGGAAAATCTACCAGTTCCAAACGGATTGGCAAGCTTACTGGAGGTCATACTAACAAAGTCATCAAAAGTTCTGAAAATTACCTTTATCTAAAGTTCACCTCCGATTCAGTAATCAACAAAAAAGGATTCTTGATAGCTTATGAAGGTAACTCAGTTACATCATTGATACTGTTACTATTATAGGTGTACTTTTTATTAGTGAACATCTTAATTTCCTCGAAGTCTTTCAAATTGTCTGTTTGTGTGGCTCACTTCTCGCCTTTCCTTTTTTCGGTTTTGTTCAAATTTGTGACATAATATCATTCTTATCTTACAGGCATAATTTAACAGAGTCTTAACAAGACTCTGCCGTCTTGTCGAGGAAGGGGGGAGATGAAGGCCACTGTCATCGCTCAACCGGGAGACTGTAACAGACATTTGAGATTTGATTTGCCCTAACCTCAAAACCCTTAATGAAAGATTAGAAAGATCAAGAATTTTTCCTTGAGTCCATTTCACTCGATTCATTTTTTAACTTTATACAGTATCTGAAATCTGCCTCTTCACACATCTGCATAAATTTTGCTCGATAGATTCCACTTCCTCCGTGTTCGAAGTCACTCTTATATACAAAGTTTCCATGCTGTCAGTCAGTATGCTAATTTAAATCGGACTTTCAGGCCAATAAAAAGCTTCTTTCGGACTCATCGGAAATCACTCTCGTGCGATATACTTAACCTGTGAATAATCTCCCTAAAATGAGATCATCCAAGAGTCAAGACTGCAAGGTTGTCAGTCTCTTCCCCAACTAATTTCCTCTTGCTCATAATGCACCACAGCATCAACACTTGTTGTTAACAATCAAATCCAATCATCAATTAAAAGTGGAAGTATTTGCCATTTTGGGCTTGGTTAAGAATTTCCTTCCATTTACAAATTCCCGACTAGTAAAGTTCTCATTTCCGGTTAAATTGCTTTCATCAAAGTTCCTTACGGTGGAATGGATTCGGAAGAACAACACTATTTAAAGCTTGAGCCTGAGTATTTAATGCCATCCTTGGTAACAGAAACTGAACTAAAATGAAATCATTATTAATATTAATATTATGGTTATCAACCCAAAACTAGACAAAAGCTATCAAAAATCTTATAGGTGCATTTATTAAATAATTATACAAACATACTCCGCCGTGAGGGATTCGCCAGACAGTTCGTTCATATTGGAATCATCCTGCAAATGTTTAATTTTTCCGATTTAATATGTGTCCATATAATGATATTGCTAAATCTCTAAAGACAAAGGCTAACTTCCTATCTACTGAAGACTTTCTATTATGTAGCCTTTTAGTATTACGTGTCAGTGCAACTCATGCCATCAAGGAATGATAGAGGAACACTCTACGCTGACATCCCCAGAGTGATCACAATTGTAATCGTTATGGCTGCACTCGTAGATATGAGATTCATTCCCTGTGCATTCCAAACTATGAATCCATATCTGACCTGATCCTTGACCATGCGTGGCGCTGCTAAAGGCTTTAATGGCTGAAGGGAAACCAAGCTGTCTGCAGATCACGTGAGCGTCGTTAATGTCCCAGCCGTCGTCAGAGATTGTTCCCCATTGGCCGTCAGCGAAAACTTTCACCCTTCCAGTTAATGACGTGTTACCAATAAGGCGGATCTCGTTTACAACTGAATCACAGCGAAAAAAAAAGTTAGGAAGAGTTTGAAACTGAAGGGTGTAATCGTTCTTGCCAAATCGATTGGATATTCTTTGACAACGCCCAAGGACAGATATGAATACAAGTTTAACTATAGTCCCCTTTTAACATTTAAGCGGTCCTTGATACGAAGAGAGCAGATTTAGATAGCTCATGTTAGCTGGACTGCTGAATTGAATTGCATATCCAGGCTTCGTAAACATTCTAAAGCATAAACTACGACCGACGGAAAAATATAAAGTGGCATTTTTTTTTGGCGTTAAAAATTACGCTTACCACGGTAACTTGCCCCAAACCCTGGTTTCCTGACGCTGAGGTCACTTGTAAAAGTGATGAAGAGTTGGTTTGATGAACTTGTAACGACTGGAGGCAGAGAGGTTCCATGATATCGCCCAATCAATGGAGATGATGAAGATCTGCCATCGTACACGTTTACGAAGTCGTACCACCACTCAGTGTCGAATTTGAAGAATGTAAGCATAATGTTGTTGTCCGAAAGGAGACTCCAACTGCAATTCATACGGTTAGAGTAGTGCTGAGCTTTGTTTGAATACAGTATGCCACTCGAACCGGAAAGAACAGTCGAAGAGTTGGCGCATGAACTTGAAACGGTCACAAATGACTGTACTTGAACTGTTAGGGAATATAAATAACGCATTGATAATAACTGCCGAGACAGAAAACCAAATTTATTGAGAGGAGATGAATAAATGTTTTGCATATAAATTACTGATGAGTTTTCAACCACTCCAAAATTTTTATGCGCCCTTTCTCTCTAAATTTTCCAGATCAAGCAATTGCTGCACCGAGAACATCAGCAGTTCTTTAATTTGGGATTCTAATTTTGACCACGCCAAGGTCAGGTTTCTATCAAAAATTGTGTATTTTGACTTCGTTGCTACCTTGTTCATTCAAAATAATTTCCATGGAAAACTTGTTCAAATGAACGAATATTTAATTTGGAATCAACCAAACAAAAGAATTATCGAGTAGTTTAAGTAAGTCTATTGGAGCGCACTTTCAGTTTGTTACAATGATCCTGACTCTCTTTGTTGTTCAACAATTTCGGTCCAACAGGTAAATATTTCACCTCATTGACCTGATGAATGTCGATTGAAAACACTGTCTGAGACCTTTTATCCTCGTGTTCTTGATAAGAGGTCGTGTACATGGAATTGCTAAATCGGGACTAGAGCGAAGTTCAAACATTTTCCGCTGATAAGGAGGTATGTACGCGATTTTTTTTTCTTCATCGACTTTTCCAGAACTCTATATTAAGCACTCAGCTTGATCTTTGAAGCTTTTTTTAAATGTTTAAGGCAGCGTGGCGTTATTGGTCCATAATGACTGTTATATCTAATTGGTAGCATTTGAATAAAAGATGTTACATGTCTGCGAATACGAAATTTATGAATTTATTTTCGTGAGATATCTACAGGAGGCGAAAATTTCGTGTCCATAGTCGACACAAGACCATCCGTTTATTTTTGAGGTTTTTAAATCAGGCATTTCTCAACCAAGATAAATCAGCTGCACGTAAAACTCAGATCACAAAATACCAAATCAACATCGAACTTTAAAAAACATGTAAATAGCTCGTTCACAACATGTGGTGAAGATCTCTTGTGTTTTAAACAGTGCAGCCGGGTTCTTTTAAGCCTTAAATATCTTTACAATGATTTTTTTTCGCTTTTAGTTTTGAAACATTTTGAAAAAGCAATCTGAGGTGAATATTTCCGGCTTTTGAAAATTCTCGAAAGATGTGGAAATTTGCAGAGAATATGTCAGTGCAATAAGCATTCATCCCCTGGATTAGAACCTGCACGTCTTACCTTCGGTCTCCATGTGACAATAAGCCAACACAGGTATCTCGAGTATGCTGAAATCCAACCAGTATTTGCCGCTGACTGCTCTTCCTTCTTCACTCTTATTAATTTCCTTACATGATTTTGCGGGCAGATCAGGTATGGAACCGAGAGAGACTGGTATTAAAAAAAATCACTTTCAAAGCGAATAACACTGGAAAAGTAAATAAATCAAATGAAAATCTGTAGAGAATGAGACTAAATGGATAGCTCCAAAGTGGGACGAAAGCACCTAGTCTACTCACCTCTATTCTTGTCTCGCCTGAAATAGTACCTCTCAGAGTTTGGTATAAAATCTTCAGGTCTGGCCTCTTTTGTGCGGTTGCTTAATTCACACATATCTTGGGTGAAGACGTAGTTAAAGCTTTGACATCTGACGTCGCGATAACAATCCCGCAAACACACATCACCGAAAACAGCTCCGGTAATCTTCTTGAAGATGTGTTTTTCTAACATCATCCCGAGGATGGACGCTTCTCTCTCTTCATTCAACTCCCCGATGGATAGTTGAAGGAAGAACTCAATCAAACCAAGAAAAATTAAGATGCGATAGAACTTCTCGAAATTCATGTCGCTTCGCTCCTCCAACCTACAATATGTGCCACGGAGACCAATCTCCAGATGTTAGGTATAAGTTTTGAGACACGAAATATCACGCAGCGCATGAAATTTTAAACAGGTAATGATATGCTGGTCCCCAGGGAAGCCTCGCTGCTGAAAAAATTAAAAAGGAGCTTGCGAGCTTCTGCCGATGAACGGCGTGATGCATCATGCTATAGATAAAAAAAACAGGAAAATAATTTCGAACTTTTTGAGCAACTAAATGCTTCACCAGAAACCATTAAATTAGTCAGATATGCTCCTGAAGGAATAATAATAAAACGGTTACCCCCTGATACAGATTCTCCTTTCTCTTGATATAAAGATAACGAGCTGCATCATGCATGATTATAAACAGGAGACTTATTAATTACCGAAATGTGAAAAATTTCTGACGATAATTTCATTTTGAAAGGTAGGGACATAAAGGCCTTAGTACCTAGAACTTTAACAACAATATTGATTATGTTTTTCTAGTGTTCAATCCGAGGTGCGGTAATCGTTAAATTTAACTCTTGTTTGACTTTGGATAAATTCCTCATGAGGCCTGGTTACATGTTGGTAGCAGTAATTAACTGACGCCAGACCTACTGTAAAGAAGAAGAAAAATTTGCCGCCATTCCAGCTCGATAATCATTTATTTTTATTGACTTATTTGATTTTTTATCCGGCCTATCGCTATGTTTTTCGAATAGTGCCTCTTCTTAAACCAAAGGAATTCTATGTTACAACCTACTCGAAAATGGTCGAAAATGTAGACTTAAGCTTCCTTTGACATAAGACCAAACGACATAAATTTATTTACATAAATTGCAATCATTCTTTGTCTCGTCAAATTGCTTTTACAGAAAGTTTGTGTCGGTGAAAACGTGAGTACAAAAGAAGTCTTTGCAAAGTATTATTACGATCATGATTGTTTTACAGTTTCTCGTGGAAATGAATTAAATGTAGCAAGAACTGTTGTCAAAGGTATAAAAAAGAAAAAGAAACGAAAATGGGAAAACGACAAAACAAATTTAGTTTTATTGTATAAATCGTCGTAGCATGATGCCACGTTTTAAAACTTCCCCGCAAACTTTTCAATTGACCGAGGAATATTGTTTGAAAATGTATGCGTGCTTTCTATCGGGAATAGATTAACTTTAGATGGAAAGAAAGGTTTCATCAGTCTTCGTTTCAATACCACGATAGATGGTCTAAGATTAAAACAATAACCGAAGTTATTGCCGCGCAATAGGGGTATATTGCTTGCTGTTAATGTACCGTTTGAGAACCTGGAATCAAGAATCATTCATCAAGATGATTTGATCGAAATTTTCCAGTGGGCGCGTGGATGTGAAAAATTGACGCAGTCTAATGTTTCACTAACAAAATGCATGCATTGGAAGGAAAAATATCGCGCCTTCTTAGCTCAAAAGCTTCTCATTAACGCCATTACGCAATCATGGACTATGGGCGTTTTGAAGATACTGTAAACAATGACATAATCGTTCCTGAGTTTATAGATAGCTATACCTTAGGAGCGATTAACTCAGGAATAAGGTAGATATAAAACAGACACTACATCATTTCTCGTGTTCCTTATTGACTAAAACAAACACCGGGTAAAATAAGTCTACTAAACGGGTTGATTGAAAAAAAGAAGAAGAAGTATAAAAATGAGGAAAACAAACCAAAAAGAAAAATACTTCATTGCAGTGTAAGAGGGATGAAAAGATGGACTGCATACCTTTGTAATACAACATCACGTTTTAAACGTCTAAATCACAAATTGGCTAAATTTCAAAAGGAATCCTCGATTCATCACTGCGTCAGGCTATCAGCGATATAATTATTTTTTCTCGCTAATAATGGAGAATTCAACATGTAAGATAGATTTACTATAGACTGATAAAAGTTAGAGGCCTACCATCATCTTAACTACTCGTAATAAGATTCACTGAAATAATTGTGGTACAACATGACAAAGTATTCTAAGCCAAACTCTTAATTGAAAAAAATATTTTCATAATTGATGAACACTGCTACATATCAGCACACGAACGCCATGTTGGATTCGCAACAACACGGCGTCATGCCCTACACAACAAACGCCTTCTTACATCCGGGTATATAAAGATCCGTTTTGCAAATTGCCTAGTTTTTCTTTGGATAAGTGGTTGAATGTTTTCTAAATTTCTCTAATTTAATGGGAATAATTTGTTAACCAAAATTATGCAATAAAAATAATGGTCATCGTGCTCGTTTCAGAGTGAAAGACCATCGCACCTCTTTACCTGGTCCATTGATTGAAAAGCAACACCGCGTTCTCGGAATGCACGCGCGCTCATTCGTCCGATTACGTTATTTTTATGTGTATCCTGCACTGCACATAATGCAGTGCAACACTGCTTCTGTAATTATGGGTGTTTCTGCGCACTTGTAAAGACGTGCTTTCCTGATAAGTGTCTGCATCATTCACTCGATTTTCCGTGAGAATTTAGTGTGCATAACAACCTTAAAATTAACTGTACGCCAGAATACAAGGAATGATAGAGCTCCCTATCAGTAAATAAAGTATATTCTTTTTCCGGTGTTTTGAAGAATTTAGTTATTTATGATCCCTCTCGGGGTATAGTTTTTTTATGTATGTGGGTATGATTCAATGTTAAAATCATAGGTTATTCGAGTTTTAGCCGATAGACGAAGTTTCCTAATTTTTACTCTTTTAATTTAACTGTTGGTGTAATTTTTTATATTACATGCATAGCCATTGTAAATGACTTCGGCTTGGAATTACATTAATCGATTAGTGTCTTTTCATCTTTCGTTATTCCCATATTTCGAAAGAACATTTTGCCGAACATTTTGGATAGCCATTCAGCTCCAAACTAATTCGCTTTTTGACAACGGTTTTGAAGTATGTCTCGGTTACATGACGCTATTTTTGCCGTTTTACTTTTTGATTGGGCGAATCATGTAAACCTGTTTTCATCGCCCTTTCGCCCCTTTAAGAACGTCTTCAGCAGGACTATTTTGTGAATAACAACAAATACCGGCAACAGTTGGAATAACGGTCGATCGGAAGGTTCAAACCAAAGTTCATTAAAGGAGAGAGGATTTAATGAGGTAGAAAAATTATCATGAAGCTTCCACTCGGCGTGGCATGCTCATCTTTTCCAATACCTTCATCATCTTACTTAAGTGTAAGGCAGCTCGCATGAAATTAAATGTACACCATCACCTTCAATATGCGAGAGAACAAGTGCTGTCTTACCTTTGGAAAATTTTTTCCCTCCCTGAAATGCTTACATCTCTAAAATGAACGGGAATGCTTTTGCTTTAGTTTTCTTTTTAAAATTTCTCGGCAGTCTCAGACTGCGCTAATAAGGTTGAAAATTCGTAGAGGGAGACGCACCAACAGATGAACTTTGTCATATGAGGTTTATATCCACCCAAGGACGTTTATTAGCTCATCCTTAGGACGTACCTCCTGAGGTTCTTTTTTCACTGTAATTTATATATCTGTTATGTCCTAGAATGATCATCATATTACCAAAGGTTGTTACTGTTTTGATTGACGTCGATTTTTTTAATTCAAATACACTATAACATTTAATTCGGTGTTCGATGAGAAGAGATTTTTAAACCTTTTTCAAGGCGGCTTTGCATACTCTCTAAGAGCCTTTCAATCTTTTTTATACATGTCTACAGATCAATTCTAATATTGTTTAGAAATGTGCAGATTAGCAGGTGTTAAACTTGAAAAAAGCACCAGGAAATGAGTTAAACCCCGTAATGGCGATTATGTGTGTGAAATTGAAACTTTAACATTTGATGGAAGAGCAAAATACACCTTTTGTTGTTCATTTACGCAAAATGTACATTCATTTAAGTCAACAGTTGAAACTATACGGTAAATATACCTTCATTAGCACTTCCATGAACTTCATTCACACTCCCCATTTTTTTTTTAAATTCAATTGATCAATGAATTATTGAGGAACTTTCTAGACTTGCGTCTTCGGAGTGATCCCAATCTTCATTTCCCATTTCAAAAAAAAATATTGTAATAACCTCCGTTAATTGGTACGCCTCAACAATAATAGTTGAATTTACGGAGAAGTGCCAAGAATATTTTTGAGTAAATAGGACTCTTTAGAAGGTATTTCCATAGCTATTTATGGAAAGCGCTAAGACTATAAGTTCATGAATTTTGGAAAACTCCGCTTCCCTGTCCTTCCATTAGTTACTTTCGAGGGTGAGTGAATTAAACAGGTGATTGCCATAACGTTAACCCGATCAAGGGATTGTGGAGGATCATTCTACACTGGCGTCTTCGTTGTGTCCACAATCATGATTTCCCCATCCATCATGGTTGCACTCGTCGATGCGTAACTCATATCCTGAGCAGTCCAGACTATCAATCCATATCTGACCAGACCCTTGACCATGCTTGGCGCCATGAAAGGCTTGAGTGGCTGAAGGAAAGCCCAGCTGTCTGCAAATCACATGAGCGTCGTTGATGTCCCAGCCGTCTTCACAGATTGTTCCCCATTGGCCGCCATGGTAAACTTCTACCCTCCCAGTTAGTGTCGTGTTTCCTCCAACAAGGCGAATTGTGTTATAAGCTGTATGAAAAAATTCAAAAAAACTATTATTAATAGGCTTTTGCCGTTATTCCTTCCACTATTATAAGTCAGATTATCTTAAGGAACATTGATTTCACAGTTGCACCATGATGAACAACTATTTACTGAAGTGGAGGTGGCTAGTGGTGAATATTTCATTGTGATGAATAGTTGGCTTTCTAAATACCAAAACAGTACGATTATATGGCACAAAATGATGATTTTAACTCACTTAAAACGATTACAAAGTATTCGGGCGCAAATCCCGAAAACTGTTCAGAGTTTGAGTAGCCATAAGAATTCACCTTCAACTCTATCCACTGTTTCAGTATATAAGAATATATCACTGTCATGGTTCGCTGTTCACTTTTTCATTCATACCTCAGTTATTTCATTCGTGTTCTTCCTTTGCCGCATGGCTAAGTCACTCATTACTTGTTGTAAGAATTTATGTCTCTACCCATTCTTTCTCTGCTCGCTGTTTCTAGAGCGCATGCCTGCACCAATTTTTCTGTGGTTAAATTTGGTTTTCTCTCTTGAACTATAGTCATATATTTACATCGACGTTTTTGTTAAAGTAACTACCTTGGTTGTTTATTCCTGAGTTTTATTGAAGGATGTGCAGCCCCAGTTATTCGGCATTAGAACCTTTGATTTTGCAAAACCTGTAAATGTTTATATCTCTGATGTGATCTGCTTATGGTTTAAAAGCCACCTAGTTATCAAGCTAACCAAGTCGAGTGGAAATGTAGGATTGAAGGACAGTTAACATCTGTTCGCCAAATCGGAGGTGGCTTGTTATGGAAGTTTACCAAGCGTCGAAGCGGCAAGTTAAATACCCACTTACCGACATTGAGATGAAAAGTTGTTTTAATATATAATGAAACATTGAGATAATATAACAAGAAAGGTGATTTTAATTCATTTCTTCCTGCAACGATTACAATATTTTCGGGCGCGAATCCCGCTCGAGTTGTTTAGAGGTGAACAGAAGGGGATATTTGGAGTCTGAGTAGCCAATCAGAGCGCGCCTTCAAAGCTATCCACCGTTTTAGTATATGCTAATTATTCTGAATCATTCTTTCATTTTACTTACTTTTGCAGTAATTACAAGAGTACACGAATTCTGAAAAGTTTTGCAAAGATCTCTTACCATGGTAACTTGCCGCAAACCCAGTACTTGAAACTTTATTGTCACTGCTAAAGGTAACATAAAGCTGATTGGATGAGCTTGTGATGACCGCTGGCAAGGAGTTTCCGTGGTATTTGCCTATTAAAGAGGACATCATAGATCCGCCATCGTACACGTAAATATAGTCGTGATTTTCTTCAGTATCGAATCTGAAAAATACTAGTTCCACATTAGTACTAGAAAATATACTCCAACTGCAGTTCACATCATGAGCGTAGGCACCATCTCTGTTTGAAAATATTATTCCACTTGAACTTGATCGAACTGTCAACTTGTCCGCACATGAACTGGAAACAGTCGCAAATGGCTGACCAGATACTGAAAGAGACGATAAAATAACGTTAAGAAATGAAAACAATAGAAATAAATACCACATTATCAAAAAATGTTGAACCAAAAGAACAGAATGCGAAAACGATTTTTTAGAATTCCTTTTTAGCCGTTTACGAGAACAATATCAAGAAAGCGACATGTTGAAAACAACGTAGTACGCTCGACTTTACATACATTAGTTGTAGACGACTCCTGATCAGCCGCTATTGTAATACCATTACAATAAATGCAAGGAGATGGAAATTATAGAGACAAGGATGGAGGAGGGTGTAAGAAATAATAGTATGGTAAATGATGGATTGTTTATCCGTATTATCTCAGTTAGTGCAAGAACTTATTTGGTTCGGATGAGTGCCGTAAGGCCGAGTTCAAGATGAAAACATAAAGCATGGTCCTGAATTTCGGACGTTCCGAACAGCCTTAACAAATTTTGGAAAGCTGATTCCCGGCCAAGAGCTACCTTTTATCGAAACGAGTTGATACTTA